AGGGCATATGCCAACTTCTCCATCGCCGGGTATCGTAATTCAGCTTCATGTAAGGCCTTACTGATATAGTAGATTGGATATTGTTGATGTCCTTCTTCACGAATAAGAACAGCACTGATTGCAGAGTTACTTACCCCCAAATATAGATATAGCATTTCTTCGGGAATCGGTTTCTGTAAAGTTGGGATTTGAAGGAGTGTTTCTTTTATTTTATCCAGAGCTAGTTGACATTCTTTTGTCCATTCAAAGCATTTCCTTTTCTTTATGGATTCAAAGAAGGGCTTACATCGATCTGTTGACTTTGGTAGAAACCGATTTAAGGCAGCAAGTCGGCCGGTAAGAGCTTGAACTCCTTTTACCGATGTGGGAGGTGAAAGATCCATAATTGCCTTTATTTTCACTGGATTGGCTTCAATACCTCGTCGAGTGACAATATATCCCAAAAATTTTCCAGAACCGACTCCGAAAGTACATTTCTTCGGGTTAAGCACCATTGAATATTCTCTCAAGATATTGAACATTTCCTGTAAGTGATCAATATGATCGGCCGCGTGAACCGACTTGACTAACATGTCATCCACATAAACTTCCATGGTATATCCGATGAGTTTGGCGAACATTTTGTTAACCAGCCTTTGATATGTGGCCCCAGCATTTTTAAGACCGAACGGCATCATAGTATAACAATATAATCCTCGGGCTGAATAAAAAGACGTATGTTCTGCCTCTGCAGGGTCCATTGGAATTTGATTATAACCTGAATATGCATCCATAAAACTCATCAATTCATGTCCAGCTGTGGCATCCACCATGTAATCGATATGCGGTAAAGGGTAACTGTCTTTGGGACAGGCTTTATTTAAGTCGGTAAAATCAATGCAAAGTCGCCATGCACCGGAACTCTTTTTCACGAGAACAGGATTTGACACCCAAGTCGGGTATTTGGTCTCTTGAATGAACTTGTTGTCAACCAGTTTTTGAACTTCTTCTTCGAGAGCTTTCTGTCGATCAGGACCGAGTTTACGTCGTTTTTGGACCACTGGTTTAATTGTTGGATCTAAATTGAGTCGATGAGAAGCGACCTTTGGATCAATTCCTTTCATATCTTCGTGTTTCCAGGCAAATACGTCGGAATTAGCTTTGAGGAATTGAATGAGCCGAGTTCGTATTGGTTCTTGAAGATTCGCCCCAATTTGCACCGACTTGTGACAAACTGGATCATCAATGAATATTATCTCGACCTCTTCTGATGGTTCGGCTCGTTCAAGTTTACTTTTCTCCTTAAATTGAACTCGCGGGTCAAGTACATCTTCCTCTCTAATTGGCTCTTTTCCCGGACGTCTTCCATGATCACAAATCAAATCGTTGTTTAATTTCACAGGATCAAGTTCCATCTCGGTATTGCATGACTCCGAGTTAATAAGTGTTGAATTTTCTTGATTTTCTTCGATGTCCTCCATCATATGTACGGGCATACAGGGTTCATGCCAGGGTTTTACCCATACCATTCCACGAGCTTCGTACTGGTCTCCATAATGAGTTCCTTCTCCGTTATTAGTAGGAAATTTCAGAGCATAATGAAATATTGATACAGCTGCACGAAGCTTGTATAAAGCAGTCCGTCCAATGATGGCATTATATTGATTTTTTAGATCCATGACCTTGAATGTCTCCATAATAACTTTGGAGGCTTGTCCAGGGATTCCGAACCGAATTGGCATAGTGATTTCGCCAAGGGTTGTCGTTATGGTTCCATTAAAGCCTTGTACTTGATCCTTGCAGGGTTTTAGCTCGGCTGGATCGATTCCCATTTGTTCAAATGTTCGCAACATCATAATACTTGAATATGCTCCAGTGTCCACCAACATACGATGTATCGGTATTCCACAGATAGGTGCCGTGATTATTAAGGGATCAGCATGAGGGTGAGCAAAATAACTTGCATCATCAACATTGAATGTAATCGGGCAATTATTCCGAGCATTAATTTTATCTCGGAGGTCGGTTGTTAAAACTGTTTTTCCCGAGTTAAAAGCTTTTCGAGCATATGCTTTTATTTGCCTTCGTGATTCCGATGTTGCATTACTGCTGTTGTTGACCCGAGGTACATGGTGTGAGTTGTCAGGATTATAGTATCCTCCTCGATACATCATTTCAGTCAAATCTTTTTCTCTTTGATTCACCATGTATATTTCTTTCTCATTCGATCTCACCCGTTTTGGATTAATTGGACGCTCTTCATCGTCTTCATCATCTGGTAAATCAGGCATTCTTCCTTTTCGTTTATAATCAACATTCTTGGCAAATCTTTGGACTTGAGGATGTCCAATAAGTCGCAACAAGGCAGAAAGTAAACCGAGACATTCATCAGTATTATGGCCTGCTGACTTATGATATGAACAATATCTCGTTTTATCAAGTTTTTCTTCGGGTGTTCTGACAGGTCGAGGATCGGGAAGAATTCCTTTCCCTTTTAATTCTTCAAATATTGTTGCCGCTCCTGCCGAAAATACCGTCTGGTAGCTAGATTTAACTTCATTGAGATATTTAGTTCTGGCTTCCTGCACTTCGGGGATTTTTGGATTCCCAAATCGAGACTTATTTGGCTTGAAAAATTTATTTTTCTTCTTTTTTGATCCCTGCCCGACTTCCGACTTCAACGAGGAAAAGTCGATATTAGGAACCGACATTGATTCTTCGGCTAAAATGTGCTGTTGAGCCCGAGCTAGAAAGTCTTGAAACGAAGTCGGTTTATTTTGACATATACTCCATCGGAACAACGAGTTTGGTTTCAATCCGGCTATGGCTGTGACCAATAGTGTTTCGGGATGGCATTGCTCCATATTTTGTATGCGCTCATTGAACCGAGTAATGTAGTCTTTCACGCTTTCATCATCTTTTTGTACAATATTTGCGATTGACTCCTTGGGAATTAAAGATACTCGGGCCCCGATAAAATGAGAGCGAAAAGCTGTCCTCAACTGCTGCCACGTGGAGATTGAATACCGGGATAAAGAATGATACCATTTTTGAGCTCGTGGTCCCAAAGTTAAGGAAAACATCCGACATCTAAGTGCTTCATTCGCTCCATGAAGATCCATCCAAGACGTGTACTGACCGAGATGGGCATCAGGATCGGAAGTTCCATCATATAAGCCGATTTGCGGAACTTTTACTTTAGTTGGGATTGGCTCCCTAGTCAAATGAGGAGCTAAAGGAGTTCCAACCTCTTGATACGTATCTTCTATCACTGGAGTTCGTCGTGGCGGTCCTCCATGTTCATCTTGGCAAGTTTCCAGCTCTGCAATCCTTTTTCTTAACATTTCTAACTCTTCTGATTCGCGTCTTTGGCGATTCCTTTCAATTAAACGACGTAACTCATTCTGCCCACGACGAGCATGGGTTTGTTCGAGAGTGTGTCGTAAATCAGAAGGTTGATCATGTCATGATAGTTCTGGTAACGATGGAGTAGACTGTCGTGGTCGATGTCCAGAACGGCTTTCTGCAGTTGCTTCTGATCGCGCTGGTTCTGGAACTCGAGTTCGTACTGGAACTACTCCACGATTTTGAGTCGTTGCATCATGTTGTGATTCATGTGTACGTGGATGGGAAGTTGCATGTGATGTTGCAGGAATATTATTTCTTCGTGGAACTGGAGTTGAGCGAGTTTGAGGATTAGCCGCTATGGTTGATTCTATTCTTGTTCGTGCCATGAAATCAGTTAAGTTTTTCAAGAACTCTGGATCTTGAAATAGAGCTGAATAATCAATTGATGTAGATGGCACGGCAGAAGTTCCGGTTGTTTGAGTTGGATGACGATTGATCCCAGGGTCAGGATTTCGTTCATTTCGTCCAGAATTCGACATCCTTTTGGTGTTTGTTTACAAGACAAACAATTTTAAAGGGGGCCCTTCCTCTAGCGCCAAACTGTTGCTGTCTTGAATTAACAACTTCAATTTAAACACAGTTGATGTTTGAAAAAAAAATGAAGGTAAAAGTTTAATTGAATTTCATTGATTATGTTCACAAGAGTACAGAAGTCGGTTTTAAGCTGGAAACCGAGATTATCTTAAGTTCGTGTACAATGTGATTGAAAAAAGATTTGAAGTCAGTTTATTTACGTCGGTTTCGGATGTCGGTTTTGATCCTTTTTTTGAAAGTCTGTTGGAAGTTGGATCTTTCAGAAATCGGCAATTTCTTAAGAAGTCGGTAATTTGTTATAATATATTCCGACTCTTAGTACCTTAATTCTGATTACTGAATTTGATATCAACACTAACCTTCACCAAAGATGGAAAACGAGATCTAGGGCTTGGGCTCGGGTCACTCGTGGCTTTTGTGAGGCTTAGGCTAGACGTGGGTGAAATGGCTGAGTTTAGAGGGTTCCAAAAGACTTATAAAATCCTAAGAAATACTTAGAAAGTGATAAGCCTCGTGAGAACTTGATTGGAGATGGCCGTGGCTTGGTGGTTCCTCCTTCACTCGGTTGCGCGCACGGAAACAAGGCTAAGGAGTGTTTCTTAGCTTTTCCTCTTATTTTTCTAAGAATGGCCGATTAATTAAGAGTCTAAGAGCTTATTATGGCTGAAGGAATAATCTTAAATAGGTCTATGGGGCTGAGGTCAAGTCTTGGTCAATGGATGGACAAGGTGGGGGACAAAATGGGAACAACTCTTTCTCCTAGGGGCATTGGGTTGTCTTGGTCTTGTCCCACCTGAGTTAGCTCGTTTTTTGTGGTCTCCATAGAGCACAATGGCTGAGGTAAGTGTTCTTGTCTTGGGTATAGGGGATAGGGGACAATTACTACACTCTAGGTTATTAAAATAATCTTTTGTCCCCGCACTAACTTGGACCAAGACTAGAAGAATTCTTGGGTTGACTTTGACCGGGTCAAATGGGCTCAAATAATACCTTAGTAAGTGGGTTGTAATCCCACAAATTTGGGCTTGGTGAAAGTGGGCCGGAGGTTGAGGTTTTGGGCTCTGGAAGTTAAGACTGTCATGCTAGCGCTGGGCCTAGCGCAGGCGCACTGGACGCGGCCTTTTGCTGCTGGCGCGGGCTGGGCTGCGGCAGGTCTGCTGGGCGCGCGGGCGGGGCGTGAGAAGACCTGGGCGCGGGGCTGGTTGGGCTGCGCGCATGAACGATGCTTGGACCGATTTTAAGGTTTTTTCTTGCGATCAAAGGACTTAGAAAAATATACCAATGATATACTAAGGCTTGGACAAGTCTTGGGTAAGCCCATGGCATGGGTTCGAACCTCGGGTGCGCGACCAAGGTCACGCGCACGGCTATGGTGCGGCTCAGGGTCTAAGACTTGAATTAGGGACATTTAAAACACTTAGAATATTCTATGTATTATACTATTATGGCTTGGCAATGACTTGCGAGAAATACTCGGAAATGACTTGAAAATTTTATTCGGATCGAGACTAGGGTTCGAGGCTAAAATTCTCGAGTCGACTAGATTACACTTATGAACCCAAATTAATGGATTGATCTTGACCTTAATTTGACATTGAAAATTCTAACAGATGATCTAACATAATTGAGCATTTAGCATATAAATTAAAATAAATCTTGAATTTATGAAATTTACGAATTTCACTTTAAAGTCGAGCAGTGAAATTCGTCTTACTATTATAATAATGATCGGGGCGTTACAGCAAAGAAGAGAGATTTTGCTGCAGCTATTGCAAAGACTCCATTCCCTTTACAATTCTTAGGTAATTATCTTTTATAATTTTAAAATTACTCATATAAATTTTTAATATGTTTTTATTAATTTTTTTATAGATAGGTACAAGCTACATATTTCGGTTGGGGACAACACTGGAATGGTTCGCCTTTTGTGCTGGGACAAAGTTGCTCGAGAGTTAGTTGGAAAACCATGTGATGCTGTGGTTAGTGAAATGAATGAGGCATGTGTATTTTTTATATTGAGTATGGCCCAAATGTTTACTCTCATATTATCAAAATTATAATTTAATTCAAAATTTATCATGCAGGAAAATGATGGATCAGATCTACCACTTGACCTTGAGCTTTTGACAAACAAAATACTATTGTTCAAGGTTTCAAAGAAAAAGGATCAATTTGGATCATACATTGATCCTTTTACTGTTTCTCGAATAACAGCCGATCATATTTGGTCAGCCGATTTGGTTCTTTGGTCAACATCTCACAGGTTGACTTGAATTTATTAAAAAGAAAACCTACAAAGTATAATAGAAGTACTATTTTTAAAATAATATAATAATTAATATACTGTAATGATTATCTTTCTCAATAGGATTCTGACCAACTCTTCACATTGATCAAAGAATATTATGCAGCTAGTCTAGTAAAGATTATATTTTTATATGTTTTCAGCAGCAAAATATATTATTTTAATAAAAAATTATATATTTTTTAATATGTAGGAATCAAAAGGTCCACTGTACCAGGCTGCAAAGAAATAACAGGAGGGAGCCAAAGGACAAGAAAATCAAAGTTGAGAAAATTTAAGGGGCTGGATCAAGATTATGTCCACTTGGAAGTTGTTTCTAGGATATTAGTTTCAATGTCTTCATTTTATGTTGTTTTAATAATAATTTCAGTAATCTACTTGGAAAATAATATTTGTTCTATGAATAAAAATGTTTTTATTAAAATGTGTTTGATTATTTTTTCTTTTTATTACTTCTATCTTTTATTTCAATAATAAAATTAAGAAAAAAAGAGTAACTACTTAACTCCTTTTAACAAAATGTCAACTAATCAATAAAAACAAGAAAAAAAATTAAAAATAAAGGCCAAATGACAACTAAAAAACCACAAATGCCGACTTTTCACACAAATGACATATACATATAATTACTAGCTAATCTATTTAATAAAACCTTTAATAAAACCTATTTTACATTCCCGCCCAAAAACGTTACAGGACACACACACACACACATATATATATATATATATATATAGATTTTTTTTATAAACACAGACTTTATTGCATGGATTCTGCTGATTATTAAATGTGATCAGGCAGTTACAATCGCATCCAAATATGAAATATTTTTTTAATTAACAATTAAACTTTTCTTAGGCAGAAACTTGATTATATAAAATATTTAGACAATAAAATAATAATTAGTTAATTTCTAATTCTTTTTTATTTTTCTCCATAAATGAATAAATATTCAGTCATGCCAAGAAAATTTAATAAATACGACACATATACAAATGTTTCAAGTAATAAATTGATTGACCACCCTTAATCTTTCATTTAGACCTGCAAAAAAAATATAAAAAAATAAAAATAAGTAAATAATTTCATTATCCCATGATTTAATAAGAATTTAAAATTCATAATCAATACCAAAAAAATAGCTATGAATTTCAATATCCCATGACTTTATCATATTTTGTTATATTCAATCAATCACAACAGTTAATTACGAATTGACTTTTGTTTTCCAAGAAAACAACATTTTGAGTAACTAAATAAATCTTAAACTGTTAAATTTCAGTAATGCGGGGATAACAAAATTAAATCAAAATCAAAATATTTGATATATTAAAATAATAGAGGACTGTTATTATTCCATGAATTTACCACATGATTTATTCATTTTTTATTGTTAATTATCAGTTACAAAGTTCTAAAAGCAATGAAAAAGAAGCGGCGGGTAAACTAAATAAAATTCAAAATCAGATAATGTTTGATAGATAAAAAAGTAGATGAATGTTATTATTCCCTGATTTTAGCACATGATTTATGCATATTAACTGTTAAATATCAGTTATCAATTCCAAAAGGAATGAAAAAGAGGGGGATGCGGGAAAAACTAAATAAAAGTCAATCAGATAATGTTTGATAGATTACAAAAAATAGAGAAATTAGAGGAATGTCATTATCCCTTGATTTTTGCACATATTATGATTTATAAATGTTATATATTAAATGTGCCAATATGATTTTGACCATACTAAGACCATATATATGTGTCCAACATTCATGCACAAAACCACATTGCAATTAT